TGTGTTTTGATTTGAAGATATTTTTTTTTTGTCGTGAGATATAGAAAATCATATAGATAATATAAAAATAATAAATATATTTAATATATTAAATCTTTTTAAAAAATATATTAAAATTCTTTTGGAAAAATGAAACAAATATATATATATTTTGTGACTCATTTATTTTTATTAATAAGTGCCATTTAATTATACATGTGGCACAATATTACGATGCCAAGAAATTAAGTGTGATGCTAAGGTTTTGGCATTAAAGTAATTTACTCTCATTTACTCCCCCTCTCTCTATCGTCTCTCCCCTCTCACTATGTCTCTATATTATATATACATAAATACTTTATTACATATATATATATATATTACGATATCTATATTATTATTATTATATGTTATTATTAGTAGTAGTATTTATATATTTTATAACACGCTATCGGCACGAGGTTTTGTCGATGAAGTGCATATAAAGATAGCATATTTTTTTGTTGTTTTTGTTGTTGTATTTTAGGTTACTCGAAAGGTTGCGAAGTTTCTGAAGAAGAAATATGAATGCTGAGCACGCTATAATGAATAATATGGAAGACAATTTATATCTCATTGATAGTGCATCAACGCACACCATTTTGAAATATAAGAAATATTTCACAAATCTGAAGTTGAGAAGAATTGAGGTGAATACTATAAGTGGTTGTGGGAAGTTAATTGATGTCTCTGGAAGAGCGATAATATTTCTCCCCGAATGAGTAAAACTTGATATCCAAAATGCACTATATTCTAGTAAATCTCAAAGAAATTTATTGAGTTTTAATAATATTCGTAGAAATGGATATCATATTTAGACATCAAGTAAGACAAATAATGAATTTTTCTTGATTACAAAATTCATTGATGGACATAAATATATATTAGAAAAATTGTCTTCATTGTCTTACAGATTATATTGCACAAAGATTAATATGGTTGAAACATATCTGGTAGAGCAGAAGTCTACAGATTTTATGATTTCGCATGATCAGTTTGGGCATCTCGGCAATACTATGATGAGACGGATTATTGAAAATACCTATGGCCATAGCTTGAAAGATCAAAGGGTATTACCTACAAATGAGGTTAATGTGTTGCTTCCACAAAATGGAAGTTAATAACTAGACTATCACCGGCAAAAGTGGAAACTGAATCCCCTTCATTTTTAGAACGAATTCAGGGTGATATATGTGTGTCTGTAGATCCACCATGCAGGCCATTTCGATATTTATGGTACTTATCGATGCATCTACTAGATAGTCGCATGTGTGTTTATTATCCACCCGCAATTTGGCATTTTCGAGGTTGCTTGCTCGAATAATTAGATTACGAGCTCAGTTCCAGATCATCCAATAAAGAAAATTCGTCTTGATAATGCTGGTGAGTTTTCATCTAAGACATTTGATGATTATTGCATGTCTATTGGAATTGACATTGAACATCTTGTACCTCATGTACATACGCAAAATGGTCTACTTGAATTACTTATAAAAAGGCTGCAATTAATTGCAAGACCTATGTTGATGAAATCCAAACTTCCCGTATCTGCTTGGGGATATGCAATTATGTATGCAGCAACATTGATAAAATTAAGATCAACAACCTATCATAGCTACTCCCTAGTATAATTAGTGTACAATGAAAAGCCAAATATTTCACAATTGAGAACTTTTGGGTGCGCAGTTTATGTGTCAATTGCACCGCCCCAACGTACAAAAATGGGCCCCCAACGGAGATTGGGGATATATGTCGGGTATGAATTACCATCTATTATTAAATATCTTGAACCATTAACTGGTGATTCGTTTACGGCTCGTTTTGTTGATTGTCATTTTGACGAGTCGTATTTCCCGACATTAGGGGGAGAAACTGATCCACTGAAAAAGGAAATTACTTGAAAAATACCATTAAGTTTTCTTGATCCTCATACAAGTAAAAGTGAATTAGAGGTACAAAGAATTTTACATTTGCAGAGAATAGCAAATCAGTTGCCTGATGCTTTTTGTGACGCCAGCAGGATCACTAGATCTTATATTGCTGCTGAAAATGTACCTGCTAAAATTGTTATTCCTGGAGACAAAATACAAAGTGCTAATGAATCAAATGTACGCCTAAAGCGTGACAGACCTATAGGTTCCAAAGATAAAAATCATCGAAAGAAAAGATGAACAAATGAAAGGGTTGATGATTTGAATGTTAATCAAAACCCTCAAGAAATAGGTAGTAACATGGATCAGATTTTTAAAGAAATTAATCCTGATAAACTTGATGAGGATGTTAATCCTAATAGAATTTCTCCTGAAGATAATGAAATTATTGAAAATTCAATAAATTATGTTACTACTGGAAAGCATTGGAACCGAAATGATACAATTATGGATAATGCTTTTGCATATAATGTAGCACTTAATCTAATGGAAAATGACGAGGATCCAAAACCTAGATCAGTTGATGAATATCGGAAAAGAATAGATTGACCAAAATGGAAAGATGCGATCTAGTCTGAATTAAATTCACTAACAAAACGGAAAGTTTTTGGACCCATTGTTCAAACACATGAAGGTGTTAAGCTTGTTGACTATAAATGTGTATTTGTTCGAAAGCAAAATGAGAATAATGAAATTGTCAGATATAAAGTAAGACTTGTTGCCCAAGATTTTTCACAGAGACCTGGAGTTGATTTTAATGAAACATATTCTTCAATAATGAATGAAATAACATTTCGATATCTTGTGAGTTTGACAGTACATGAAAATTTGGATATGCGTCTGATGGACGTTGTAACTGCATATTTATATGACTCATTGGATAGTGATATTTACATGAAAATCTCTGAAGGATTTAGTATGTCTGATGCATACAAATCAAAGCCAAAAAAATGTTATTCTATTAAATTACAAAAGTTTTTATATGGGCTTAAACAATCTGGTCACATGTGGTATAACCGTTTCAGTGAATCATTATTGAAAGAGGGATATGTCAATGATTCTACTTGTTCTTGTGTTTTTATAAAGAAATATGGAAATTTTTTTGTAATAATAGCTGTTTATGTGGGTGACTTGAATTTAATTGAAACCCCTGGAGTGGTCCAAGAAGATATTGAATATTTGAAAAGGGGGTTTGAAATTAAAGATTTCGGGAGAACGAAATTTTGTCTTGGTTTACAAATTGAATATTTGGAAAATGAGATTTTGATACATCAATCTGCATATACCCAGAAGGTATTGAAATGATTTGCGATGGATATAACACATTCATTAAGTACTCCAATGGTCATTAGAACTCTTGATCATATTAAAGATCCTTTTAGACCAAAAAAGGAGAATGATGAAGCACTTGGTCCTAAAGTACCATTTTTTAAGTGCTATTGGTGCACTAATGTATTTGGCTAACAGTACTAGACAAGATATAACGTTTGCTGTAAATTTATTAACCAGATTTAGTGCAATGCCAACATAACGACAGTGAAAAAAGGAATCAAACATATTTTTCGTTATCTCCAAGGATCTATTGATCTTGGTCTATTATATCCAAAAGAATCTCGACATGATTTGATTGGATATGCAGATGTTGGGTATATTTCTGACCCGCATAAAGCCAAGTCTTATATTGACTATATGTTTACTTGTGGCGGTACAGTGGTATCTTGGAGATCCACTAAACAAACATTAGCCGCCACATCTTCAAATCATGCAGAAATAATAGCAATTCATGAGGTCAGTAGATAGTGTGTTTGGCTAAGATCAATGATTCACCACATTTTACAGAATTGTAGTTTGAAATATGAAAATGATATTACTCCTACTATTTTGTACGGAGATAATGCAGCTTGTATAGCGGAATTGAAGGAATGATATATCAAGGGAGATAGAACGAAACCAAGGCTTTACCAACCGCAACGTTCGAGAAATTAGTAAAGATCATCACAATGCATCGGTTGCAAGATTTCAAATGATGTCCACATCAGAGGAAGCAATATTTCAAATGATGTCCACATCAAGGGAAATATTTTTAATGCATAAATGACGTACTCTATTTCTTTGACTAGGATTTTTGTCCCGTTGGATTTTTTTATAATAAAATTTTAATGAGACATATTTATTGCAGTTAATGATACCTAAGGGGAGCGTTGTAACTCATTTATTTTAATTAATAGGTGTCATTTAATTATATATGTGACACAATATTATAATGCCAAGAAATTAAATGTGATGACTAAGATTTTGTACATTACCTATAAATAGGGTATTATATCAAATGAATTATAAGATTTGACATTAGAGTAGTTTACTCTCTTTTACTCCCTCACTCTCTATAGTCTCTCTCCTCTCTCATTCTGTCTCTACATATTATATTTACATACAAATTTTATTTATATATATATTATATGTTATTATTAGTAGTATTTATATATTTTGTTATATATTTTATAACAATATAAATATATATATATTTATTAATAAAAAAGTATATACAAACTTTGGGTAAACACAACCTAGAATAACTGCCCCAGCAAAGCTTCAGTTGAGGGGGTTTGTTTAGATTGAGGCTTTTGGAAGTGTTTGGAAATTTAAAAATTTAAAAAATAAAAATAAAAATAAAAATTTAATATTTGATTTAATATGTTATAAAAAAAATATATTTAATATAATATTTTTTAAAAAATAAATAATATCAAATAAAAGTATGTTAGGGTGTGTTTGTTTGGGGGTTTGGATTTTGAGTTGGGATTTGAATAGTAAAAATTTTGAATTTGAATAGTTGTATGATGTGATATAAATAGGGTTTGATGTGATGTTTTGAATGTAAAATTGATTTTTAGTATAATATAAAAAATGAAAAATAGGTGTTTGATTTGATGTTTTTGGGAGGAAAAAATTGGATGACCAGTGGAAATTCGCCAAAATCTTTCAAACAAACACACCCTTAGAGTAAACATAGCGGAAACACTATTGCCTAAAATTACACCTCAATTCAATTTTAACAGATAAAAAACCACGCGATCTCTCTAAATTCGCAATTTCCATCGTCAAACTTAGACCTTTATTCGCTGTCTGTCTGAGAATTTGACGCTTCTTCAAGCTCCTTTCCAAGCCCCCAAATTTTCGATCTCCGCGGACCAGAATCCATCGAAACCCCAGAAATGGTATTAAACCCTTTCAGACCACGATATTGCGCTTTTGATCCCGTCGATGTTAAGCATCATTCGGTTATGATTCTTACGTGACTAATCGTTGGTTGGGCATTGCAGATCCGATTCATATTGTTACAGAACAGGCAGGGAAAGACTCGATTGGCCAAATACTACATCCCTCTCGAGGAATCCGAGAAGCATAAGGTCGAGTATGAGGTAATTTGTTTCATTTTCGAATCATTTTCGGGTTGCCGCTCAATTCCGAGTGCCCGTGCCCTTCCTTCGTCGTTATACATATTTGTTTAGTTTTACTTGAACTCACTGTTGCAGGTTCATCGATTGGTTGTTAATCGGGATCCCAAATTCACTAATTTTGTGGAGGTAATGATATTCGTGTAAAGCGTAAAGGATACTACACTTTTTCGATTCAATTAGCCCCTACATTGATCGTCTCCAAATTATTCCCCTTTTGCATCTCTAAAATGCTAGGTTTGGGCTTAGTTAGGGTTCTTGATAAATATTGTGGTTTCTGTAACAAGAATGAAAGTGGAGAGTGTGGAAAGGCTCTTTCTTTCTGTTTGTGTTTTTGTTGACTTAGAAAAGTGTTTGGATTTTTGGCTTCAATTCGATGTTTATTGTGAATCGGTTAGATTTTGTTTAGACTTTGTCATCTATATGCCATTAGGGCTCTTCTTGGAATATATAATTAGAATTATCAAGTGTTGAGTCCTACTTTAAAATGGCTAGAAATAGATGAGTCGAAAAATTATATTTGTAAGTTAGCCATTGTGTCTCCACCTCTATGCGTGCATATGCGTAATTCCTTTTTCGAATTATAATTTTATATATAGCTTACAGTAAAATTCCCCGTCAATTTTGGGTTTCCTAATGGTTACTCTTTCTTTTGGTATTGTTCTTGGTTTTGTCATATTCCTTGTTCAGTCTTGCAAATGGAAGCATGCTTGTCTATACTTTGTGGAATATACCCGACTGTTTTTTCTAATCTACGGCACTCCTTTTTAATAATTTAGTATTTGGTATGTTTTGGGTTCATTTTGATGGCATCTCAATGGCAATGGGATGCTGACGGAAAATTTCTTGCAGTTCCGCACACACAAGGTCATCTATAGGCGATATGCTGGTTTGTTTTTCTCCCTCTGCGTGGATATTACGGATAATGAATTAGCTTATCTGGAGTCCATTCACTTATTTGTGGAGATACTGGATCATTTTTTCAGCAATGTGTGTGAGCTTGATCTCGTGTTTAATTTCCACAAGGTATGTTTCTCTTTTGTATTTTCCGTCACAGTTGAGTTGTTAGTGAATTAATCCGAGTGAAGCATTTGATTCCTGAATAATAACTGTATGAGCTTTGACGATTCCCTGCTATGCGAACATATATCTAATCTGCATTCTGTCTCTTTTAACCAATCCCACTGCTGATTCTTTTCTAGTAGTTTTGCATTTGTTCAGTTCGTGCTTTTTACGAAATTTTGTTGTTTGTTATGCTGGAAATTTGATTTATTTGCCTGATGAGTGATGTGACCCTCAAGATCATAAATAAATATTAAACAGTATATTTTCCCGAGCTTGATCGATTTAGACAATAGGATTTTGACAGTGCTAGCCTATTATAATTTCTATTGATCGTTTTCTGATTCTCTTTAAAATTTGCCACATCATGAATTATTATATTGCTTCCTTTTACCATGTACTGAAATTCGAGACAATTGGCGTGTCGTGTCATTCCTAAATCGGTTCTGGTTTTTAGGTGTATCTGATATTAGATGAGTTCATACTTGCTGGAGAACTTCAAGAAACAAGCAAGAAGGTAAAACTTCTTTCCCATTGCAAACACAAACTCATAAGTCTTGTTATGTTATATGTTGATCGATTTTTATTATTTAGCAATCTTGACTTTGTCCTGAACTTTATATTCAGCATATTTTATTCATGGTTCAGTATTTTTATTTTGTTAATAGTTTTACACCTTATTATAGGAAGTACAGCGCTGTGCTGGTGTTTTATACCATTCGGTGTATTTTTATGTGGTTCAATGAATTTTTTTTATCCAGTTTAATAATACAATTCTGAACAAATTTTGGCACATAATTCACTCCCCTGTTACTTAAATGTTTTTCTGATTATTGCATGAATCTATAGTCTTTATATTATAATTCTAATGCAGGCGATCATCGAGAGGATGGGAGAACTGGAAAAACAGGAGTAAGGAGAAATGGCATTGGAGAGGGATCCATCGGGTGATTGTAAGCTTATAGAACTGGATTGTTTTGTATTTCTCTTAATACGACGCCATTCATTCTTCTTAAGTTGTAGATTGTTGTTTTGTAAAGATGGTTTGTGTTTGCTTCGAGATTTTAGTACACTCAGGAGATTTACAGCTCTCAATGGAATTCTTTTTCGGTATTTATGAACATTCCAAACATCTTCCAACATGAAATTTGCAGAGTTCTCTTGTGCTCTCTTCTCTGGCTTTAAATCAATTTATGTTTGGAAAATCACTCCATTCCTCTGTATGTATGTTTATTGTAAATGTATGAATAAAGTAATATTACCAAATAATGTACAGGTAATCTCTGTTATAATATGAGTTTGTAGAGAAATGTAGGGAGTTTATATGATAGTGTTTGTTTGTGGCTTTTACGTTTTGGATTTGGATTTTTGAATAGTAAAATGTTGAGAATACCTAGGGGACACATTAACAGGGGTGGGGGGGGGAAGAATTTGAATAGTTGTTTGATGTGATATAAATAGAGGTTGATGTGATTTTTTTAATGTAAAATAAATTTGTAGTATAATATGAAAAAAGAAAAATAATTATTTGATGTGGTATTTTTGAAGAGAAGAAAAATTCTGAATAGTAAAAACAATGTGTTCATCTGTGTATATACATTTTTGTGGTGATTAGGGTTATGTAAGCATTGTGCTGATTAGATATATAGTAGTGTATATTGTATTATCTCATGTGATATCATTTATATGCTAGCCGAGTTGATTTGAGCTAGTTAGCACATAAACTGGAGTGGAAGTGGCAATATGGTTCGGTTTTTCTTGTCGATTTTAATTTATTTTATTTTTCAATTAATTTTTTTAAAAAATCTAATACAAATTTAAATAGAACTTTGAATGATAAATATAGAAATTAAACACATGACCTATCTATGATATCACAATACCTCAATCATTAAATTATACTTCAATTCTTAATATATATTTATTTGTTAAAATATTTATAGATATTTATTTATTTTAAATATATTTAAATTATGAAATTGGGCCAGGCCAAACACGGTCCAATCATGGGCCCGGGCATAGCCTAAAATTTTTCGGACTTAATATTTTAGATTCAAGCATAATTTTTTTTTTGTGTGTAGGATAAAATTTCCGGATCGGACTCTAACATCAATAAATATAAGATGAAAAACTCAAAGGAACATATTTATACAGTATATTTATCAATACAATTTTCACCATGACAATTCTTGATTTGAAATGTTACTTTCCATCCTCAGTGAATTATCACCTCTCGTTTTCTTGCATCATTTGATCAATATCTTTCAACCAAGATTACTATTATTATTATTGTTATTTATTTATTATTATTATTATTATAATTATAATTCGACAACTAAGGACACTTTTTCCGGCCGCCATGGGCAGTCATATCGGCATAGCAGGGGCAGATATTCTCGTTACCAGAAGTTCCCGGCGGCACACAGTTGCACCTCGCGCAGCACATCGTGCACCCTCTCACGCACACTTTTGGCCTCGACGACAAGCTGCATCTTCTCCCACACTCCTTCCCGCAATCTGTGTACATATTCACAAAATCAACAAAATAAAACCAAAACAAACACAATTCCAGATAATTGGGTGTGTTTTTTGTTCGGGGGTTTGAATTTGAATAGTTGTATGATGTGATATAAATATGTATTGATCTGATGATTTGAATGTAAAATTGATTTTTAGTATAATATCAAAAATAAAAAACAGCTGTTTGATTTGATATTTTTTTTGAAAAAAATTTGTGTGAATAGTATAAATCTACACAAATCCTTCGAACAAACGCAGCCTAATGAATTATAGGAAATCAAACCTATATTGTTTGCATCCTGCAGCCGATGTCCCAAGCCCTGATTTAATTTCAACAAAAATTAAAAACATATATAGTTATTAATTAATTAATTTTTGAAGTATTAATTTTTTACCATCGAATATGGTTGAGTTGCGACAGCAAAGAATACGACGACAAAAAAGAAGACGAGAATGAAAGACTTTGTCATAGCTGTTAAAGAAATTATTGTAATCATATAATGTTGAAATCTACAGGTGATATTGCTGTATTTATTGGTGAGAAAGTAGGAATTTTTAATTTATTATTATTATTATTATTATTATTTCAGCTAAATTGACAAAAGCTACGTATGATTTTATGAAATTGCTCAAAATCTCCTATACTTTTAAAACTGAGTTAAACTTCTTGTAGTTTCATAAACTCTGCGTCTAACCCTTTCGGCGGTCCTTATTTAACTGTATTTGATCTAAATGCGTCCAAAAGTGGGAATAAATTTTAAAATATCAATTTTTAAACCCCTAAAATTTAAAATATATTCTTTTTTTTTTTATATATATTTAGCTTTAAAAAAATAGTAAATATACTAAACTATAGTTATTTTTCTCATGTTTTAAAAGTTTATTTTTACTGTTTTTTTAGACTAAATATAAAAAAATGAATATATTTGTGATTTTAGGGGTTTAAAAATTGAGATTTTTTAAAATTTAATCTCAGTTTCGGCGCATTTAGGTCAAATACAGTAAATAAGGACCGTCAAGGGGGTTAGACGCAGAGTTTATGAAACCATGAGGAAGTTTGACGCAATTTTAGAAATATAGAGGATTTGGCGCAATTTCGTAAAATCACATGTGGATTTTGTGCAATTTAATTTTTTTTTTTATGTTTTTTATTTTTAATGTGTGGAGCTGAAGAGAATGGGTTCCTCCATTGCTAGCATTGGTATAGGTATGTTTTAATTAGAAATAATGATATTTGAAATGTAAGATTTGGACAAAGATAGATAGATGTATTTAGTTAGGATCTAAATTAAATGGTACAAATTAATCTTAAAACGCTGTCGTATTGTTAGTAAATGCCTTCTTTTGGAGAAGTTTCTAGCGGCGTGATAGCAAAGTGACGACTCCACTTTCAGCATTAACAGTAATTTTAATATTGATAGTAATTTATATTGTTTGGTCGATGAATATATATATATATACATATATATATATATAAATTGGTTTTCCATTGAATAAATGAATAAGGTAGTTCAACAGCAGTAACAGGACACAAAATGATTATATATACAACTTTGATTAATTAATGTACAAATTAAATGTGATTCAGAAAAATAAATAATGACCTACTGTCCGAGAATACACACTGGTAAGCCCCCGGTCGAACCTAATACTATGAAAATCAGGCCCGACAGAAAAGTCACGCTAGGCGAACCATGCGTGGCAGGTGATTTGAGGCGTCGGAAATTTAAACCTATGACCTCATGGTCACAAGTTCAACCTCTACACCTAGGGGTGGACACAGTTTTGATATTTGCAAATATGCAGGTATTTGATATTCGAACTGAACCGAACAAATACCCGAAACCGTGAACCGTAGTCGAACCGAAAATTTCGGTTAACCGAGAATATTTGCAATATTTGCAAATAATTCGAACCGGACCGAAATTAAAAAATAATATATTAAAAATTAATTAAAATTCTAATTAAATCAAAATATTTACAAATATTTCAAATATCCGAACCGAAACCGAATCGAATATAATTATTAATATAAAATTTAAAATAGAATAACATAAATATATAAATATATAACCGAACCGAAAAAAAATATCAAAAACCGAAACCGAACTGAACCGAGCAAATATCAAATATGCAGTATTTGTATTCGAACCGAATTTGCTCGGTTAACCAAAAATTCGATTCGATTCGATTCAATTCGGTTCAACGGTTCGGCGGTTCGGTTCGATTTTTTTGTCCACCCCTACCTACACCATCATGCTATCCTTACAGAACAACATCATGTTCTCTTACAAATGCATAACACCACTACAAACTAATCGCAAATTTATATAAAAATAATAATTTAATATAAGAGAAAAATTAGATGAGTATTTTGAGAAATTTATTACTCCTTCCCTCTCGTTGGAAGGATGGCGTTTGCTTTTTGTATGTAGATTTTTAAATATTAGTATTATATTGATTGTAGTAAAAAAGACAAAAATACCTCTATTAGTATAGTGTAATATAAAGTAATGACATTTGTGTAATATATTGTAAGTTGAAAGGGTATTTATTATGTTAAATAGGTAGTACAATTACTAAATTAGAAAATGATAACCTTGTTTTGGGATTGACGAAAATAGAAAATGATAACCTTTTCATGGGACGAAGAAAGTATAAAATATACGAGGTTTTGCCAGTTTTGCCTTGTCTAGGTCAAGAGTATTTTTTTTAAAAAAGATTTATGTGATATATTAATAAATAATAGTATTTTATTTATTAGGATGATTTTGATATCTTAAATATGTAACGATATTTTTGGAAGAATTTTCTTATAAAATAGTACAAAAATAGCTATGTTATACTTGGCATTGTATAGTTTACAGATATCCAAATATAATAACATTTGGTTAATTTTAATAAATATTTTAGCTTTTTTGGAATATATTTTGAAAATATTGCTGCATTTTGGATTATTTTAAAACTATATAGGAAAACTTTGAATGAAAAATAAAGTATTGAATACATTGTCAATTAGTGTTGAATGTTGTGTTTAAATTCCATATTTTTAATATAATTGTTACATAAATAGACTATATATGTACTACTTTTTAGGAAGATTTTTCTTTTTTGAAAAAATATTGCAAAAATAAAGTTGATGCAATATTTTGCATCATATAATTTACTAAAACTATCCAAAAATATTGTAAAGAGTTTATGTAATATTCTGAATATATTTGGTCTTTTGGATTTGTTTTGAGAATTATAAAAATTTGAATAAGAAATAACACTCTATTGGTCTCATATATAAGTATCTGAATGCCTTTTGTACATAGTTTTATAAATATTAGTATTATATTGGTATATAGTAAGAATAAAGTTAAAAAATCAAAAATAATCTTATTAGTGTTGTATGATATATAAATAATAACATTTGTATAATATATTGTAAGTTGTAAAAAATATTTTTAGTATTATGTAGATAGTATATTTACTAAAAAAACGGAAATGAATACTTTGCTATGAGATAAACCAAAATAAAAAAAGAATAGATAGTTTGTTAAGGGACGAAGGGAGCATTGAATATGATGTAAATAAATATTGAATGTCGTATTGTTTGAATGATTTTGAGGAATTTTTATTATTTATACAAATTTTTCTCTTTAAAAATACCAAATCAAACACTTAACTTTTATTTTTTTTATATTATTCTAAAAGTTAATTTACATTCAAAATATTATACCAATACTTATTTATATCACATCATATAATTATTTCAATTCAATATTTTTTAGTATTCAAATTCCAAACTAAAATCCATACCCCAAACAAACACACATTTAGTACATTATAATACCATCTTATGTTTAGTATAAAAAACCTCATGTTTTTATTTATTGTAGGAAATTTTCTGTGTTAAATTAAAACATGTACGAATTGTATATTCTTCGTATGAAACTGATTTTTAGTTGTAAATACGTACTTCATTATATAAGTTTTATATTCATGACAAATAAAATATTTTGATATTATATCAAAATATAATACAAATCAAGGAAAAATGACAACATACTTTTATTATTATTAGTGACTTATAATATTAATATAATGATCTATTAAAAGTATAATAAAATAAAATGTAAATGTAATTTTTAGAAGCGGACTGATGAAATATATCATTTTATTATATATAGATATGTTATAAAGAAATAAAAAATACTCCCTTCATCCCGATATAGATGATCCATTTGTTTCAGACACAGTTATTTAGATAATGTAAACTAGTAAATTATTAATAATAGATATGATAGTATTATTTTATTAGTTTTTATATAAGTAGTATTGTTAGTATTTAAAAAATATGAATTAGTTTATATGATTAGAAAAACTTTAGAATTATGTGTTTAAATATTTTTAATATTATATCTCAATAAAATATAGATAATATAAATATTATTTTGTAAATAATAAATTTTTTTAGTATAATACAAATTAATAAAAAAATATATATATTTATATGTAATTAACTTAAACTATTTTATAATAAATGAACAAATTTTAATGTAGATAAAATATTTATTTATATAAAAGTAAAAATATTTTCAGTGTACCGTAATGATTGAGAATTTAATTAAATTGATTTTATTTTTTAAAGTATGATAAAACGAATAAATTTACTTAAAAAAAAAGAAGTGTTTTATGGGGTTGATGGAGTACACAATAGTAATCTATTGTGTATAGTGTTTAGTTGTTAATTATTTAGTTTCTAGTACACCATAATAGAGGTGAATAAAATATTCAAAATTAAAAAATATGATATGAACCAAATTGAAATTGAAATTTGAATTTCTTGAATTTTTGGATTGGTTTGGTTGAATATTTTAAAAATTTTGAAATTTTGAATTGATATATTAAAAAATCAAACCAGTTTGAAATTCAAAATATAATATTTTAATATATATTTTATTGTATATTTAATATTTTAATAAAAATAATAAATTATTTTAATGTGGATTTATTTTAATTTTTTAATAAAAATATAATATTTTAATATATTTAATATTTAATGAGTTTTATATATTATTAAAATATTATTCTTTTATTAAAATATTAAATACATAGTAATAAAATAGTATAGTACAGTAATATATATTATATTTCAAATTGCTTCAAATTCTTATTATATCAATTCGAAAATTTAAACGTAGGATTAAAAATTCAATTGTGGGTTAAACGTAACTATTTGGGCTATCAGTCAGATTAAGTTTATATTAACTGATTTATTACTTTATTGGGCTTAGTGCGGGCCTCCAATGTACAGAAACCCGGTAACTTATTAACTGGGTGATGATGTCAATTAATAAAAAGGGATATAAAAAGGTTGTGATCTCAACAACCATTACGTCCAAATCTCATCGTGGGAGTAACGGCAGAAACCTTAGCGGATTTCTCGGGAGGGGTTGCGCCATAGACTTGAAGAACACAAAACTCTCAATTGTTTGTAGATTCAAATCCGACTATGCTAATGGAATAAGGTTAGACATTATTTGCTTTATTTCTATCTCAATTATTACAACATGGTAGATCTTGAGTTTAGGATTAAATTCCTCGTAAATTCCAACATTAAAATCTATAAAAATTTAATTGAACTAATCCAAAAATTAAAAAAATATGAACTAAAGTTTAAACTTTGGTTTAATTCAAATTTAGAATATTTTTACATTTTAAGTTTTTGTTTCAATAATAATTTAATAGTATTTTAACACAATATTTTATAAAAATACTAATATATTTTTATTGAAACAATATGATTTCATATAATAAATAACTGAATTGGAGCTGAAAGATAACAAATTCATAAAATTTAAAAATTTGGCTCAAAAATAACTTCAAAATTTGTATTGCATTATATTTTTCGATTTTAATATAATTACAAAATGTGTTTTATCTACCAGATATTTACCAATTTGCTTTGTAATTTTGATTTGAAAATTAATCTTAGTTCAAATTAAATTTTTTATATTATATATATATATATTTAACTTTCGAATTTGCAGTGAAAGTGTACTTAAAAATAAAACTCCTTTGTCATTTATCTGGTTTTGAATTATCAAAATATATCTTAAATAGTTTCGAAATTTTCAAAGTCACGTCCAAATCAATTCTAGAATAATCTTAGAATTTTCGAGACCTTATGTATCCACGATGTCGGAGCAAGTATTGATTTTTATTGCCCATATTTATATTTGATATTTTTTAATATTCATATATAATTTTTTTTATGAAGAATTTAAAAAGTAAAAATACAACAGTACATAAAAATAAAACCATCCACTAACAGTACACAAATAAAAAAATCTTTCTCCAGCATTTGGACTAGAAAAGATCTTTGTTGCTCTAACATCTTCCCATTAGATTAACCCCTTCACCTGCAAGCTTCTCTGTTCTTCTTCATCCCAAACATACTTTATCTACCAAAAAATAAAAAATCAATACACACGAAAGAAAATCATGACCAAAATTTTGTAAAAGGGACCTAAAATTTTGTACTAACTTACCAGAAAAGTGGGTTTTTTTTTTTTTTTTTCCAATCTAGCAATCCGAGAGAACTGATTTTCAAAAAGACCGAAACAAATTCGTTCTCGGAGCCCCGAGTCCCAACAGGATGTCACAGTTTCAGCGTGTTGTAATTGATTAGAATTAATGATCGAATAACAACCGAAAAACGTAAAAAAGACAAAGATTTATGTGGCTCATCGACAACGTATTAGCTAAGTCCACGGACAGAAATAAAGATCAGATTTATTGATGGAGGCAAGGTTATTCAACACTGCATACCGTCGCGCCGGGGGCCACTCCGCGCCCCCAGACCCAGGCAAGGGGGACTTTGCCCCCTTTGACCCTCCGACTCGCTGACTGGACAGCGAAACCCCGTAAAAACTCAACAAAGTGGCAAACTTACATTAAACGGGCTCTGCCCAATACGGATTCAAAAATCTAACACTGCATACCATCGGGCCGGGGCCACTCCGCACCCCCAGACCCCAAGCAAGGGGGACTTTGCCCCCTTTGACCCCTCCGACTCGCTGACCCGGGCAACGAGACCTCCGTAAAAAAACTCAGCTAAGTGGCAAACTAGATTCAAAGCATATCAACATAGCGCAATCCTCCCCCATCGCCGAGCTCGAACTCCACATCCTCCAATGATGGCGGCCATGCAAGAGTTCAACCTTCCACCGGTGGATAACCTTCTCTAGTGCGAATTAGGCATCCTCGCCGGATAACTCACGGTTTCTCCGCCAAATTCCACCTGAAGTTGATGCGGATGATTCTCCAGTAGAGCTCCGCCATGTTCGGCGTCCGGTCCTCCTGGAAATTTTGCCCTCACTCTCTTCATAGTTTCGACACCATTTGCATTTAAAGAGTACATATCCATCCACACCTTTTTCTGAGGATTTTCATTTTAGTGTGTATCAATCAATCAATCTTGAATTACAGCATAAAACAACATTTCTAGCTGTCTTCTAACAAACAAATTAAATTGGACCAAAACCAAAGGTATGAATGAGCAAAGTTAAGTTGCAAATTAGTTACCTCTCATCGACAATTACCAAAAGTTAGCACAAGAACAACTCCCCTCCAAGAAATGATGGAACCTCAAGTTATCGCGAACTATTATCTCCCTCCCTAAAACTCCCGACGCGCAACACATGAACGCATGACAATCCTCACATATCCTAAGATTCTTCACTATACGTATGGTCGACCCATCCTCTGTTGTCATCACTGCATACGCTAAAGCCATCTTCTCACTGTGATAAATCAGAATTTTTCGTTTCTCTTCATCACTTATATTGTACATCACAGACCCCAAATTCGGCTCATAACCCTTCTTCATCTTTAACCTGTCGATAAGTTTCTCCAATGTCTCCCTAATTTCACCAAACCTCGGATGGATCACATCCCACGCCGAGAATTCATGAACAACACCTTTCTCTCCTTCGACCCAGCTATATCCGGGACTTTTTCTCAAGCCCTTTTTCCTCGTCAGTTTTCTTATCCTCAAAACATCTTCCCATTTCCCAGCCTTGGCGTAAACATCGGCCAGTAATATATAATTACCCATATTTTCAGGCTCAAGCTTGAATAGATGCCTTGCTGCAACTTCAGCAACTTCAGGATTTACATTTATCCGACATGCCGACAGAAGTGCTCCCCAAATACTCGAATTAGCCTCAACAGGCATACATTCAACAATTTTAGCCGCTTCCTCTAACTTTCCGGACCTGCCCAAAAGATCCACCACACAACTATAGTGATCGACAGAAGGCTTCACACCATAGCAAGCCTCCATACTATGAAATATACGTTTACCCTGCTCGACTAGCCCGGCATGACTACATGCTGTAAGAACCCCGACAAATGTCACTCCATTGGGCTTCACATCAGTCGCCAGCATCTCCTCAAACAACTCTATAGCAGAAGATGCACGTCCATGGATGGCAAGGCCGAGGATCATTGAACTGTAGGAATAAACATTCTTTTCTTGCATGACATTAAAGAGCTTACATGCCTCGTCGACACAGCCACACTTGGAATACATGTCAATCAGTGCCGAACCAATTTGCACGTCTTTTGTTGGGTTAAAACCAGAACTCTCGGCAATATTCCTAACCCATTCGGCGTACTTAACTGTGCCAAGCTGTGCACAGGCATTGATAACACCTACAAGAGCAACCTCATCTGTAGCCATGCGGGCACTTTGCATCCTCTCGAAATACTCCAACGCCTCCTTCGGTTTACCATTGTGTACAAACCCGGTTACCATTGCCGTGCTCGCCACGGCATCTTTCACTGGCAATTCGTCAAACAGCTTTCGTGCAGTGTCCATATCCCCAGCCTTGGCATAAGCATCGATGAGCAACGTTCTAGAGATCAAATCCCGTTCAGGCATTTCGTCGAACACCTTCCGCGCAGCATCCACCCACCCACATTTAACGTACATGTCGATCAAACCATTCCCCACGTACACATCCTCGCTGAACACACCTAGCTTCAACATCTCACCGTGAAACTGGACACCCAAATTCGCGTACATTTCAGCCGCTGCCATTTTCAAAAAAGCTGTGAAGGTGAACGACACGGGAGTGACGCTGTGTTCCCTCATGGATTTATAAACACGCACTGATTCTCGAAGCATCCCACCAATCAAATACCCTCGGATCAAAGCCGTGTACAGGAAAGGATTAGGGTATCTCACCTGCGAGAAAACGGAAGCCCCGTAGGATTGCGTCGGGACGTCTAGCTTGGTTAGCATACGAATGAGCTTTGCGCAGATGTAAGACGACTGGTGAAGGCATTTCCGGATGATGTAAGCGTGGGTTTCCTTGATTTGGGCGAGGCTGGTGCAGCCATGGAGGTTGCGGATGACTTGGGACTCCAATTGTTTGATTTGCTGCAGCTGAGAAAAGGGGACGAACGGCAAGGGTAATTCGGTTGGGATGGAAGCCCTAATTATGGGCGCAATTAGCCTCTGCTTCTGAGAAAGTGAAGCCATTACAAGTGATACGATACTTGGATTTCAGTTTTGAAGCATTTGAATTGAATGTATGTTCACCATGGATGATTGTATTGTATTGAACAGGTATTACAAAAGGAGAAAGACAGGTACTCGCATACAATACAACACATCAGACAAACAAATCCAATCAGAGACGATGAACTCAAGTAAACAGAGATTTGAAATTGAAGCTCACCTTCGATCAGCAAAGAAATGCACTCTTTTGACAGTAAAACTTGAGATTAAATATACGCTAATGCCTGAACCTCTTTGTCTTAATAAAATTTGAATGAAATACCATTTTTCTTCAAAATTAATATTTGATTGTATATACATTGAACAAATTTTATACAAATAAAAGATATCAATAAAATAAATAAATAAATAAAAGATATTAATTTTTGATTTTATAGTTTTTAATATAAATTGTTATGTGATTTTCATAAGAATTATAAAAATAAATTATCGATCAATTATTTATTATTTTATTAAAAAAATTATTTAAGATATTTTAGATATATAAAACTTGTATAATTTAATTCTTTATTTATAATAAATATCAATGAACAAAAGGATGTTTTGTGTAAACTTTAAATAATCATGCAATAAATAAAATTTTATGCATTTTTACTTAAAAACAAGAGTGTTATATAATTTACCATATATTTCTTTAAAGAAATAAAAATCTAAAAAAAATTCTAAATTATATTTTTTAGTATAATGATGAAATTTAAGTTTAGTTTAAATTGACTTCTGACAGAATTTTTTTTTTTTTTTTCATAATCATATTGGAAAGCTCCTAAAATCAACAAAAACGCTTTTAAGTTAAAATTAACATTTTATTCTTAATAATAATAATAATAATATAAAAATAATTAATTTATATATTATATTTTAATAAAAACTAAAAATTATAAGGTAAATTATTTTTTTATTTTAGTATCTAACCCAATTTATCAAATTTTAAGTGATTAGTTCTATAAGTAAAAGATTTTTACTTACGCTGACGTGATTGACATGTCACATAAATGCCAAGTCAGAGGACCATTTGAGAGAAACCTTAAAAATAATAAAGAATGTCATATACAACGTTAAAGAAATAATTACGGCTGGTCCCGTCACTGGCTCTAACAGTATATACTAGAGCTGGATTGGTTCGTTTAACGCCTCTATAGTTTTGGGGAGAGGCAGAGGCAGACGCAGACGATCAATAAATAGGATTTAGAATTGGGGGCAACATATGGATTGGAACTAACCTTGATACTCAAGGTCCGGTGTCGATCGATCTCCGGAACTGAACAGGCATAGTTGGATTGATCATCTGATAGCTACATTCCGGAGTTATCTTATAATAAGTTCTTGATCCGGATTTAATTGCAGATATATAGAACAATGCGCCGCGGATCATAAATAAGAAAAAGCAAAAACAGAGATATATAAGCAAAACAAGTCGAACTAGCCAGCGGGTGTTGCATTATATACACATAAACAGAGACAAAATATATAAGTTCAAAATCAAAACCAGATTGTGTCGAGAATTGCCGAGAAATTTCCACAAACAACTTCGAGCTTTTCAGAATCCAAAGTATCTGGTGTTAACTATGATTTCTGCTTTAGACGACGAAGAAGCTCGTTGAAAGCTGGCAAACTCTTCCAACATAGAGCTTACATCAAGATCGGTACTGCTTAAAGGAGAATCCATTTCTACTTTCTTAAGTGCATTTCCCAACTTCAAAAGATTCTTCACGAATTCCATCTCCGCCGGATAACCCATCACGACGTGGATATTCACATATTCAAGGCACTTGAGACGAACATTTAAAGTTCGTTGTTCCTTCAGATATTCCTTAACACAATTCTCATTGTAATAGGTGTCGCTCTAGAAAATAAAAAAAAGAAGAGAAAGGATTAAATGTGAATGTGTTAACAAATCAAGAGATGTAAAAAAAATTGACAAATGAAGTGACTAACACTAATTTTAAGAGACTGCAAATTGGGAGAGCTTTTAATCAAGGTAATAAGAACTGCAACACTTTCCACCCATCCAAAGTCGATTTCGCCAATTTCTAGAACAGTGAGAAAATTGAGCTTGTTCGGAAGCTCTTTCATCTCATCATCACCAACATCAACATGAATCTGAAAAAAATCCACAAAAGAGGAAATCGACTAAAAATTAACTTGGATCAAAAAAAATATAGTCGACATTAAAAAGAAGCTAAAGTTAAACTCCACCTTCAGATTCAAGTACTCAAGCATCGGACATTTAGAAAGAAGAATTTCCAACACTTGAAGCTTAATATTGACGCCGACAAGTTCCAGTCGAGCAAGACGGTTAAATCCTCTAAACAAAGGCGAAAGCTTTACTTCACAATCATTACCAATGTACAAATGTTTGAGATGATTAAAAGTAACGAGCCGAATTATCGTCGGCTGCAGAGAGTTCTTGCAAGGAAATAGAAACTCGAGGCTATTAATTCCACGATCCGACAAGATAAATAGCCAGCTGCTGACGGCAGAACGGCTTTTGATCCAACTATCCGTGATTGAGAACTTGGTAATGGCTCCTTTGTGAAGCAACAAAGTTCGATCGACTATTGATTCAGGATCGTCGTTCCCATTCAACAATCCTTTCAAATTTTGATCAAAAACAAGGTCTGGAATAGTTACCCATTTATATCTCCACTCCCACGACAGTGCGCTCGTCCTCACAGCATCACGCAAAGGCATATGCACAAGAATTTTGTCTATAACATCGCAGGGAAGACGACTAATCCTATCGACACCATACACCATCCTAGTAAGTTTACTGTACAGATCAAAAGACTAATTAATCACTCAATCAAAAGCATAAATTGATTAAACTCCACAACCTATTCAGAAACCAGATGACAGTATGATATTGAATAGCAGATCAAAGATGGAATAAATTATCCCAATATCGCGGTATGAAATCAAATTTTACAGCATACCTCAGTTGGATTCATACAAAATAAAACTTCCCGCAGAGGCGAAGCAAAACTTGCAGCGAAAACTATAGGATTCGGCAAAGAGTGGACAACAAAGAGTGAAGAAAGATGCGAGTAGAGTTCAACTGATCCCCAATTTGTACGGGTTCCGTTCGATTCAACTTTTGATTTGATCACAGGTTGTTTATTTTTCAATTTCTTTCTTTTTTTTTTTTTTTATTATTTCAAAACTAGTTCCGCCCAAAAAAATTATTTATCATTTCTAGTTTTACCGTTCAAATTTTTACGGTTCCCGCTGACGTGGCTGTTACGGATGCTGACTTGGAAGCCGACTCGAACACAACACGCCCGTGTTGCACAAAACACGTCCGTATTTATAATACACGTCATCTGACCGAATTTGAAACTTCAACACGGACGTGTTTATATGGAACACGACCGTGTTTCTGCGGAACCGAATCAAACACGGACGTGTTCATTAAGACACGACCGTGTTGTTCCATTAAAAAATATCACCGATTAGAATTAGCCGTGTTTGTAAGTAAACACGGCCGTGTTCGATCTCGTTGTCAACAAAAACCCTAGTCTCACATGTCCCCCATTTCAAATCTATTTCACTCGAATTCTCTCCCATTTCTTCCCCATTCCAGCCCCACTTCTCTAACCTATTAACCTCACTTTTCATATATTATATTTTATCTTTTTGAAGTGAAGACTATTCTTGTGTAATCTATTGTGGAGGTAATTTTTAATTTGTTCATTTCATAAATTTATTGTCTTTCATGGTATAAAAAATAATAATATGTATAACTTGTATATTCTAGTGATTAATGAATTATATTGAATGAAAAGTTGACTATTATAGAAATAAGTTTTATATAATGTATTATTTTATAATTATTTTTTTTTATATTTTATAATTAGTGTATTCAATATGTGTTATATCCTCATTTGTATTGTAGGAGAAAATTATTTATCATAAAAATGAGTTATGATAAAGAAAAATGTGTTGGAGAAATATACGATGAAGATGTAAATTTGGATTGCAATGAAATTCAAGAAGAAGATAAGTGGAATGAAATGCTTAATGAATCGGATTTTGAGGATTCTGATTTTATGATGGAAGAACAAGATTCGGGGGATGATAGGATTGATCAGTCATTATTCGAGAGTAATGTGGATTGATCAGTCATTGTTCGAGAGTAATGTGGATATAAATGAGTTTAATGAAAATCAAAGTGTTGTGGTGCACCAAAATTCCGAATATGACATGTCATTTGGTGATTCTCAAGAAAAAGATTTAACCATGTTTGTTGAATCCGATGTTGATGAGATGGAATCGCATGCCATTTATGATCCAACATCAAAGTATGATCGCATTTTTAGTCTTGGAATGATTTTTAGCTCTAAAAAAGAATTTAAGGAGGCGGTCCAGAATCACGCTATCAAGACAATGAGAAGTTTGAAATTTGTCAAGAATGATAAAAGAAGAGTTTATGTCCGACGTGCTGTTGAGAACTGCAATTGGAAAATGAATGCGTTAAAAGGTGAATGATCAAGCATCTTTTCAACTAAGGACATATAATTGCAATCATGATTGTATGTGCGACTTAAATGTGAAGAATGTGAAGTCGACATGGCTTGCAAGGAAGTATGAGTCGTTGTTTCGATCAGATCCTAAACGACGTATAAAAAGGTTTAGGACAGACGTCACAGAAGACATTAGATGCAATATATCCCAACATCAAGCATACAGAGCACGAAAATGGGCATTGAAGGCAATTGAAGGTAATGCTGAAAAGCAATATGGAAAGTTGTGGGACTATGCTGAAGCTTTACGACAGTCTAATCCTGGGTCAACTGTTTTGATGCAATTGAAAGGCGAATTTTTTAATGGACGACGCAGATTTAGCAAGTATTACATATGTTTGAAATCGCTTGTGCGTGGGTTTTAGTCTGGATGTCGACCTATCATTAGGGTGGATGGTTGTCACCTAAAAGGTCCTTGCCAAGACATTCTTTTGACTGCTATTGGAATTGATCATAACAATGAGTTGTTTCCTTTGGCATATGATGTTGTCGGGAGTGAGATGCGCGAAACATGGGAATGGTTTTTCACTCTTCTAAAGGAGGATTTGAACATAGAGCATTAGGGTTATACCTTTATATCTGAAAAACAAAAAGGTCTTGTTCCGGCCATGGAAAAGATTTTCCCTCAATGCGAAAAAAATTGTGTTCGACATTTGTATGGAAATATGAAAACAGTTGGATTTAAGGGTCTTGCATATAAAAGATTGATTTGGATGGCCGCCGACGCAAGTACTATCCCCGACTTTGAGGAGGTGATGAAGAAGATTCAAGAGTTGGATCCGAAATGTATTGATTGACTTGCTGACAAGCCACTGTCTCAATGGTCAAGATCACATTTTGCTACATTTTCGAAATGTGATATGATCTTGAACAATTTATGTGAATCATTCAATAGTATAATATTAGATTCAAGAGAAATGTCGATACTACCGATGTTGGAGTGGATTAGAAGATATTAATTAACACATCTTCAGAAACGAAGGGAGATTATGCATAGAAAATGAGGGAATATGTGCTTTTGCCCTAAGATAGTAAAAATTATGGAAAAAAACATTCAAGTGGCTTATTCTTGTGCACCCGTTAAAGTCAATGATTGGTGTTATGAGATTTATTATTCGGATGGGAATCGATTTATTGTTGACATTTTTAAAAAATCCTGCAGTTGTAGAAAATGGGAGTTATGTGGTATCCCATGTCGCCATGCGATGAGTGTTATATGTGGACAACAGTTAAATCCAGAGAATTTTGTTGACGAAATATACAGTGTTTAGACATTCAATAAAGTGTATTCATATTCTATTGGCGCAATGGATGGTAAAAAAATGTGGCCAAAAACTGAATTGCCTCCACCACTTCCCCCAAATGTTAAACGAGCTGCTGGAAGGCCTAAGAAGTAAGGAGACGTGACCCCAATGAAGTAATGGAGAAAGGTCAATCACAGGGAAAAAAGGTTAGTGAGAGTATTTTACCAAGACAAAAAGTCAGAAGAACTTGCAAATTTTGTGACTTGTTGGACATACTTTGAAGGGTTGCCAAAAGAGAAGAGCAAGTTTGATCGAATCAAATTCCACGGCGGACGGAATGCAACTTGCTGAGGAGTTGTCGTAGAGATGCGATATTCCGGCGCAAAGTCAAAGTATCTCAACTCTACAAATTCAACAAGCCGAGACTCCTACAATACAACCTTTCATTGCAAAGTTAACGGTACGCAACTTACGTGGTGTGTTGATATATTGGTACACATATTGATTTTTTGATTTCAATAAACTCTTACCGTTTGTATGAAATATGTGAGAAAAAAAACTTTTGGAAGAGGTGGAACAACTGAAGGTGGAACATCGAGTGGGACACATTGAGAGAAAATATGAATTTGGGGCATGTTTATGGAGTTGATTTGTGTTACTCTCTGTGAATTTGGCTTATGTTACTGTATTTGGATTAGTCTTATGTTATTTGTCTTTTGTTAATGTGTATGAATTTGACTTATATTTGTTGTGGGTTTGACGTATGTATGAATTTGAGTTATTTAGTTGGTATTATTTTTGTGTGTAGGTGTTGTGTTTGGATGCGTTAATTTTAACAATGGTTTTAGCCAAAATTTAGGGTTAAACGCGGGCGTGAAACACCCAATACGGCCGTGTGCGCATGCATTACGATTGCAAAAATCACAAACACGACTGTGTCTTAAAAATACACGGGCGTGTTGAATCACAAAGTATTACTCAGTGTACACAGAACACGGCCGTGTTAGACAACCACAAGGCCATGTTCTGAAAACAGAGTAGAACACAGGGCTCAGACATGGCCATGTCAGTTGCCGTTTAGTCTAACACGGCCGTGACGTTACCAGAATAGAACCCAGGGGTCAGACACGGCCATGTCAGTGGCCGTTTAGTAGAACACAGCCGTGTTGTATGAAACACGGCCGTGTTCAGAAAACAGAATAGAACCCAGGGGTCAGACACGGCCATGTCAGTGGCCGTGTAAAGGTACACGGCCATGTTTGTTAACACACGGCCATATTTCGTTTACAGAATAGTTGATGTGTTGACACGCTCATGTATTTGACCATGCAACAAAATACGTCCGTGTTCTAGAAACACACGGCCGTGTTTGCCGTGTTTTACACATTTACCTCGTGTACAAGAAATACACCCGTGTACTTGTGCACACGGGGGTGCTGTGGAAACAAAATAGTCCAGGGGGGTTATACACGACCGTGTTCCTGGCCGTGTTTCGGTACACGGCCTTTTGTGTTTGATACACAGCCGTGTTCAGTTCATTAAAAGATAATTCATTGTAAAGCAAATACGGGCGTGTATTATTGGCACACGCCTGTGTTCGAGGCGGGTTAGGTTTTTTTAAAACCCGGATCTGTCGAACACGGGAGACAATATATACAAATCTCCCGTGTTCGACCTACACATCCTGGACGACGGCGACTGCGGCGGCGACAGACGACGAGAGGGGCGGCGGCGGCGACAGACGACGAGGTCGGGGGCGGCTGATTTGGGTTGTTTCGTTGCGTTGATTTTAAAGATTCGGGAAAAAAGGTTTTTTTTTTTTTTAATTTTTCAAGTAGTTTGTTGTTGATACAATGTTTTTACTTGTTATAGCTCTCACATTGTGGTATATATTTGGATTTAAAAATTATATGAACTTTTTCCAATTTTGAACTACTTATTGTTGGATTGTTTGTTTAGCAATGTAGTATAATGGTTTATTCTTGGTGTTGCATTTATATTTTTTTTCTTTAATGTGTGGTATAGTATTTTGTTTTTGGTATGGTTTGTTGGATTTTTCGAACAATGTCATATAATGTTTTATTTTTGGTGTTGTGCTTGTTGAGGTTTTGTTGGATTTTTCGAACAATGTTATGTTATATTGCTTTGTGCTTGTTAACTTTAAGGAATGGCAACTAAATGAGGAAAACAACGGAGCGGCAAGGGAGTATTGACCGATGCTGGTTCATTGAGGGAGAATACAAATTTAAGTGGTCAGTTTTTGAATTTTCAAGAACAAGAGCTTGTAGAGCGATATGAG